TGATCATGTCATCAGTTAAGAATGTAGTAGTCATAGTAACAGTGACATGGCGTGGTCATGGTAACAGTAACAGATATCAGACATAGATTAATAGTGTTTTTCAAGGCAACAAATGTAGATAACAGGAGTGGTACATTCTGACATTTCCCTAATATGTCTGTTAGCATTATGTCATGATACCTAATATTTACTAACAACGTGATATCAAATTGTGGACCAGATCCAGGGGGCACTGCTTGAAGAAATGAGTATCTTTTGGTCCTCAGTCACCTTTGGCAAACACATATTTGATTACTGTTCCGTAGAATTTCCAGTTCTTTCAGGCACGGGGTTCTGTAGCTCACGCACAGCCCTGTGTCAGTTGATCACACTGAGCAATGTCCCGGCTTAGGGGATGGCCATAAACACACAGTGGAGCCTTTACAAACGAAGACTCTACTGAAAATCTACTTGGCTCCATACAATACACATACATCTCTTAGAGTTAATATCAGTAAATATGATATATCACACCACATCTCTGAAGAATTTACTTATGGAACAATTTCCATGTGACCGCATGATCCATCAAACAAAGGCACTGCAGCTTGTGAGAGACAGGGTAGTGTCCATTAGCCAAGGTAGGATATACTGTTGAGTAAATATCCTGAATCTGCTTAGGGTTTTCCTGACACGTAAGACTGACAGATATCACTATCACCAAATCCATAACAACTGAAAAACAATACTGTTTAACCAAAATGATTATAGCAAACTCAAATGTAAGGAAGCTTAAAAGATCCGTGTCAGAATTTATCTCCAGTGAACCATACTTAAGAGAGACGTAAGAGGCGACTAACGGATCGTAAGGTCAGACTCGGGGACTTAATGTATGTCATCGTGACCTTATTGCATAGATCGGTGTTCATGATGTCAACCACTGGATTGTCTTATCCTGACTCGAATATTAACGACGGTGTCATACAGCTGGACTATTGCTGAGGATAAAAAAAACACACACAAAAAACCCGAAGCAATAGTGTCAACAAACAAGCAAACACATTCGGTCGAATTCAGCATCAAACTCCTTCACAAACCGTGAAGCATCCCACTGATTAAACCAGCATCAAATTAAACTCACACATTTCCTCAATGTTCCTTCCTTGCCCGACTACTACCAGAAACCTGTTTGTAATTGGAATCAATAAGTTCGCTCAGAATATACTCGAGCTGTCATTCCTCATGATGTTTGTATCGATGTACTTTAAAGACAAACTGCTGCCTCTGCTATTGAACATGTCTGGATAAGTAAGTAATATACGGTATTTAAATTCCTAACTAAGTTATCTATGCATGGAAGCCCAACAATAGGCCTAACATTGTAATCGTATGTGCTGTGGGGTTTCTTATTTAATTCCATTCTGGGAATAACTGCAAGATTACTGATGCAGCCGAAAGCACTAGTCAACCTGAATGCATAAAGACCACGAAAAACCTGGGATAGAGTTATTCTTCAGCAGCCAATGCTTGTAAGAGGCAACTGATGGGGACCGGTTAGTCTGTGACAGATTTTGACAGAACCAGATAACTCCATTTAAATTTATAAGAAGTCCCAGTGTGTTGAGAGATTCAGGAAAAACATACGTTGTTCAAAACTCGTTTAACTATATTTTCTCAAAGACCAAGTGGCAGTTCGTATCGCCTAGTGCCACCAGAGTATCACACGGAGAGTCCTTATTTGACAGTAAATGCCGGTACCAGGTCAGTCAAAAGAAGTAATCCTTGTGTTCTACCATGAAGCCTTAATCATATTAAACATGGAGCACTGTCTGCCATGAGTGATTGAATATGTTGCTATCCCAGTCGGACAAAGACATAGGTAATGAATTATGTATATTTGCTAAATAAAATACATGTAGAGTTTTCCAAGCAGTCTAAGACAGATATAGCTAAATTTGCCTGTTGAAGATTATGGATGGCCCACAATATTTCACACAGATGCTACAGCATTAGGTCCATCATCACTAGCTTCTGGTCTGAACCTGTGATTGCTTATTAGAAACTGACAAAGACAATTTCTTACCCATGGCGAAGATGTTGGTCCAGTCAGCCATAACAGTTGGATACCTTTACTCTGTAACCTGGCCCCTGAAGTGAGTTGATTTAACCAGCACAAGACAATAGACCATGAACCTGAGTATAATCTACACTTGCATCGTTTAGGGACTCTTCGAAAGGGAAAATTATGTGAGTCAGGGACTGTTAGACTGACTACGTTCCTTCATACCTTAGTACTATAGAATTTTGAATGCATGAATGACAGCTTGTAACAGTTCAGGAAAAAGTAATCAACCAGAAGTGACACAAACGAAATTCTGAAAGTGTTATTAATCTGACATGTAAATCACTTGCATGATATTTTTGAATTTGAAACGATAAAACACAAACATTCAACATCCCTGATTCAAGATTAAATTATATAGTACTCCGGCGTCTGGTGGATGGAGCCTCTGCCAGAACAACTAAAGCTGGTTGGTTCGATGCTCAGTGGCGTCATACCAAAGGTGGTTTAAACTAGAGTTTATTTTATCCTATGTGGTGCTCGGTGGGGGGAAACAAAGACTGGTTGGCTCAGAGTCAGTTCCCAGGTCAAACTGCTGATGCTTTGACAGTAAATGCTTGTACCAGCTGAGTCAAAAGAATTAATCCTTGCGTTTTCAATGTACGACGTTTAAATGATTCATGATATACTATCTATGTCAATCCTAAAGCCTAATACGAGTGTAGAAATACACTTTAATTCCTTTTAGGTTTGTTCTCGTGCTTATACGGGATCGTCTTTGCTGAAGATACATGTTTGAGGACTTTTGTCGCCAAAATGGCAACTTCTGGCACTGTACGTTTTAGACGGCGCCCCTCTATATCAAAGTGAAAATAGAAATTCATAGGTTTGGGCTAACCTTTTAATAACTAAGCCATTTTACACAAACTTGTCAAACTGCTGCTTCCTATGTCAGTAGACTTGGACGATAAAACCGCCATATCTTACGTTGGGACTATAATCAGAAAATCAGTAATTCAGTAATTCTGACGGCGACGTTCAATTCCATTTCACCTCACCAGCTCACCAAAATAGAGGCTAGGACCCAGTCATTCGCTGAATTTTCAATGTACAAACTGATTCATGATACACTGTGAGAGTAAATACTAAAGCCTGATATGAGGGTAGAAATACACTTTAATTCCTTTCACATATGTTCTCGTGTTTGTTGAAGATACATGTTGGAGGACTATTCTCGCCAAAATGGCAACTTTCTGGCACTGTGCGTTCTAGACGGCACCCCTCTATATCAAAGTGAGAATACAAATTTGTCGGTTTGGGCTAACCGTGCATAAATAACTAAGCGATTTACACAAACTTGTCTATACTGTTCGCCAGGTATAGAATTCTTTTGGTTGCAATCGGATAAGTCGAGCTGCTTCTCCGACCCTAGAACTACTTACACATCTGTGTACTAGTATTTTCTAGCGATATGCATAGCACGCAGTATACCATAATTGGGTGAGTGATTTTTGCTCTTTGTTGTACCGACCCGCTAGTAGGTCTTCATGACAAAACAACATTCCAGGGACAAGAGCCCAGTACTTCTGACATTAACACAGTCTTGCCTTGTGTAAGTACCTTTGACAAGCCTAAACATTAACGCCGTGTGGTTACTATCTATTACAACTGTTGGAATGGCATTCGAGGGGATAAACAGTAGCCAGTCCATTTGTTAACTAGTGTCCGTGACTTTGGAGCTTGACCCTGATGACTCTTGTGGCCTTGGCAATACCTTACACCTTCACATATCCCGCCGACAGCAGTGTGGATACAACACCACTCAGACAGTCCTAAATGTGGTTCCGCTACTTGCGATCCGACTTATTCATACACCATCAACAATCCAGGAACATCTGCGACAATGTAATTAGTGCTTCTAACACATTATTTTGGTGACAACTGTCTGCCATATGATAAAACCACCACCAGACAGGAATACCGATGTCACTTGCATGGCTGATTCTTTGCAGAAAACAGAAGACAAAATGTGTCTGTGCCAAGCCAGATGCCTCCGTCTGTTCCACATGGCATGTGAGCTATAATGGGCACTGAGTGGTTTCTTTCGTGGGCTATATGCTGCCCTGATAAAGGAAATAGTATTCTTCATGATACCTCTTTGGCTATGCATGAATGCTGTTATGTCAGAAAGTCCAAAATGTGGAATTGGATGACAAGAGCCTCTGGAGATGTCGGCTATTTGTACTTCTTCCAGTGTATTTACTGTGATCAGTGTTGAGATAATCGTCTTGTTACAAGTTCCAGAAAACGACTTGTCTACCAATTTATTATGGATTTTGGTTAAACTGACAAAAGCCAACATATTTGCTATATTTAATGTTCTCAAAACACATGTGCTCCTGTGTCGAATACTGGTTTGTATATGCCGATCTTGATAATTTTTCAGGTATATGACTGTTGTCTATAAATAAGCGTGTCTGGAGCACATAAACCAGTGGTCCTCGCTGTATGCTGTTTCGTTCTATAGGTGAAATTGACCAAGCTGCACAGCCTTTTGAAACTGATCATTCACCTTCCCGAGACGTGCGTGTCCACAAGCTTATATCACAGTGTAAAATTAGACCGCCATATAAGCTTGTGGACACGCTTTCCTTGGGATTATGGTACACTCTAAGCGTCTTATGACAAGCATAGTCCGCAGGGGTTATTAGGGAGTTTGTTGAAGACCGCAGTGTGTGGCTCGACACAATAGATCTGTCAGTGGTCCTGGGATTTAACTGAGCGGTCAACGTCAAACGCGCAAAATAAGACTTTTTACGCATCAAGTGACACATCGTGGTATACATGAAATAATATTCAAAACATCATTAAACTCAGCTTATTCCAAATTTCATCAAAAATATATGTGTGAGGCTCTAAGGCGCCTTCATCGGTTATCGCTTCAGGTGACTCCAGAGAAGGCTGTGTGGACAAATGAGAGGGATATGCTGTACAATTGTCTGAGAGGCCAACCTGCGAAGCAAAGGAATAGCATCCAAGTACAAGATCCGGGTTAAACGAGGTTGAATGATCGAAATTTGTGTCTTTCCCAATAATTCGTTTCGGAAGCTGTTAGTAATCGTTACTTCTTACTATATATCCATACTGAACCGTAACCCTTGATATACTACTCACTAAAACTTAAAGAACAGCCGATTCTTTACGTTACTACAGTAAATCTATCAGGGTATGATGGGCACAGTAGTCGGATCGTTATTTGGAGTATCGAGTGTACTTTCCCATCTTTAGAATGGTATATATTTGCTTGCTGAATCTTACATCCAGAGCGTCATATTATTTTCCAGATTGTAACATTCATAGGGTTAGTGCACAGCATTATTTGAATAACCCTAACCTCGTCCTTGGTACCGCACAGCTAATAATAACGCGCTACCTCGTTATAGGGAGCCGGAAGTAGTAGGATGTAGACAAGTAACATATGTATTGTTGCCGAGGCTGTTTTGCTGTGACATTGTGATTATTGACTACCCACGATATCTCCATCTCCAGACATGACTTGTCGTTATAATTAATAAGGAGTCTATTTGTCTGTTGTTGTTTTTTGTTTGTTTGTTTGTTTGTGTGTTTGTTTGTTTGTTTTTGTTGTTATTTTTGTTTGTTTGATTGATTGTTTGTTTGTTTTTTGTTTGTTTTTTGTTGTTGTTGTGTTTTTTGTTTGTTTGTTTGTTTTGTTTGTTTTGTTTTGTTTTGTTTTGTTTTGTTTTGTTTTGTTTTGTTTTGTTTTTGTTTTGTTTTGTTTTGTTTTGTTTTTTTGGGGTGTGTGTGTGTTTCCCTTGGGCGCGCCAGGTTGCTGTGATTGTGGGTTCGAATCACAGAGTGTACTTGGTTTCTCGGTTGTCAGCACCGTGCCCCTTTGCTTTGGTCCGACTAAGTGGATCATGTCTATAAACTGCATCGCTTCAGGTTTTCTCCCCCAACAAACTGGGACGCCCAGACAGGACGTAAATACTGAAAGCATCGTTAAACTCACTCACACGATTCAAATGACATGCTAAACATTGCCATAAAATCAAATTGCGCTTGTAGCAAGAATGTGTCTCGTGGCTTCTAGCTTCATTGTAGATATCAGTAACTTTTTTTTCCGGTATCAATGAAATGAGAATTGAAAATAATATTTGTAATATGTTTCAGTGTTAAAGTATTTTAAAAATTACAACACATGTCTAAAGAAAGAAAAAGCAGTTTTTATCCCGCTAGGTGCCTGGAAATTCCATTTCTGTAAAAGTGGTGCTCGTGAAACCCCCAAAATGGTTATAACTGAATGCACACATATGGGAATCGAGCACGACTTTTTGGCTTAACTAGCTACCGTTTGACTTCTTAGTGTGATTATCGTAGAAGTAAACGGGAGTGACCCCGTGCTTAAAGGTCAAGGGTCATAGCTTGATCAAAACTCAAAATATAGAAAAGAACCCCAAACTGTATGTTAGACCGCACATCATAAATTATATATGGTAACGGAACCAGATTGGAATTCTGTGAGATAGTAACTTTGAGTTCCCTTGTCTTTGCAATTTCAGAGAAGGTGGCAACAATTGTGAAACGTACAGGCCAGAAAACCGGACCATCGACGTCACGCCACAAAAATACTCTTTTCACCATGAGTGTCAGAGATATAAAGGGGGTCAGGGCTGACGACTCCGCTCAACAACTGCAAAGACAGCTTAGCAATTAGGCCCACCATCGACACATGACCGTGAGGACCACGTCTCAACGCTATTATACGTTGCTGATGACAATTTGAATCTTCGATACTAAATAAAGGGAACATTGTATGGTTTCCACTCATTAGTGAGGGAAGCAAAGGCTTCCTTAGTCGCTGTCAATAAAACTAATAACTTGTCCCACAAGCGCATGTCCCAATACAGACCCATTCGACGCAAGACTGACCTAAAGTTCAAGGACAACATGTTTCCATGCGTCAAGGACGGGTCAGTCAGATCCCATACTACAGAATTTGTACCTAATCGGAATTTCATTTAAGGAACAAAGGAATATTATAGAGCCGACTGCTCTTCATACGCAAGCTTTTACAGAAGTGTTCTCCGATTCCATTATGGTTTGACACACAAATATAAGGGACCATACCGAAATATGATCTATTAAATGTGGTCCTCTGTGAATAGTTAAGTAGGCGATGTCCATTACGCTATTGTAATCTCGCGGCTTAATGATACGGCGAGGATAAATCCGCGAGGAACTCCATTAAGTTATTTACTGCGCCTGACAATAATAAACTAACAAAGAAACCATTGCTAAAGCAAATTGAATAAAAAATGGTCTCCATTCTTAGTGACTCAATACGGTATGACCAATGTGCGTTTGTTAGATCGTTTTTGAAAGAATGAATACTGAATGGTAAGTCAGCTGGGTATTTTTTGAGAACTATATATTTACGTTCTATCATTTTATTGTAAGTTCGATGACCGGTCTTATACCACTTGGGTAAAACCAATCAGTGCGGAAATGATGCTGATAAACATAGATATATAACTATGGTGAATCTTGGTTTCGAACCCACGATCATAGGTTTCTTGCATGCCTGAAGGAGGCATAGCAATGGTGCAGAAGTGTGCAGCTAACACGAGCTCACACGTACCTGCATTGTTCAAAGGGCTGTAACTGGGGCAAATTCGAACACATTATTAGCAGATTTAGGTTTGACTAAAGGATGTGATTTGGAATACCCTGTGGACCAATCATGTTTCTTTCCGCCATACATTTACTGAAGTTATGGCCAGTGTTTCAATGTGCAGGTTACGATTTCCATAGCCTCAGAATTTCAGTTTATGGCAGCTTGCGTGGAAGTAAAACCCACTTGTGACACTGGTCCTAAACGTTCAACACTCTGGGATCCGGACAAAGGTTAAGTGCATCCTACGCCGTCTAAGGTAGACAACTCCGGGCAGCCAGTTGTGGCGATCGATATGTGTTTGATTAGTTATGGAGGTGAGGTGAAATTGGGTTTAACGTCGTGCTCGAGAATATTTCGCTCATATGACGTCGTGCATGCGTGTGTATGTGCATCCGCAGCTGCTTGTACTATCCCAGACTTAAGCTGGTTTTATAGTGCTAGCCCACTGAGATACCATGCCGCAGTGAAGCATGAATATCCCACTCAGACACATTATACTGACTCCGAGCCGACCAGTCCTTGTTGTACCCATTAATGCCGAGCGCCAGGCAGGGACCAACAAGTACCATATTTTAACGTCTTTTGGTATGACGCTGTCCGGATCGAATCCGCGACCTTCCGCACTCCGGGCGGACGCACTAACCACTACACCACGGAGGCGGTCAGATTGCTATGGGCAGCGACAGAGGATGGTTTCACACTCTTCAGGGAATCCAACCCGTAACGAGTGAACACATTATCCACCGTGTCCCCTATGGTGATAGAAAAAGAAAAATCTATGGATGACACAAACATACTCTGGAATCTGTTCAGTGCAGTCTAAACCTGTATTCAGCTCTAGCTTCTGAATACAGGTAATTCCATCGGTACCATTCTGACATGCATACTGATACAAACTGGAACCAGTAAATATCTCCAGAATTCCCGGCTGACATTAAACACCTATTCCACCTACAGATCACCTTCTATCCTCACAGCATCAAGCATAGTTCCCCCAAATAACATTCCTCGCGTTCATGCATATGGTCTATGGAACAAATGCGATTTGGTCAAGTTACGCAATCCTTAGAGGTCAACAACGTTACCGGATATGACGTCATGGGCGGATCCGGCGTCGGTTGATCTGCCATTGAAACCGCGACATTTATAAGAAAGCTGTGGTTCTTGGACCTATTAAAAGGACATGTTCTTGTGAAAAATGCTATCCTGTTTACGTAGATCGGAGCGTCATGTGGTGTCCAGGTGTGCACGTGTCGGTGATATTGTTGATAACAATGAGTCCCTGCTGTGGAACATGCTTCGGTAGGTCTACGCTGATGTTCACATTTACACAAATAGATTGCTCTGGCACTTTGCACAGACGGAAACTCGTCTCGATGATACAGCGGCTACCTTGCCATATGAGACCACGTCAAATTCACATGTGTTATGTGAAACTTGATCCTTGTGTGGAAAACTCATTAAGTTCGTTTATTAATTAATCTTTTTTTTTTTTTAGGAAACATTCATACATTATCACCAACCAAATATTACCTTGAGGCCTTTGCAAAGAAAGCAAAACAAAAACCTAAAAAAAAACCACAACACAAATTATGAATGAAACACACAAAAAAGAACAAAAGACTCACTGAATCTGAAACAAATACGTTTGGCACTCCAGTGTATGAGACAAAAACATTTGTAGAAAATGTTATAAAATCTGTATTTGATAATAGAAAAATTTGTTTTTGAAAATAGAAAGTAAACTTTCAATTTTATCAGCTTCAGCATTCAGTGAGATGAAAGAATTTGTTTAGAGATTAAATTGAAAAATTGCACTGAATATTTCATCCGAAGATTATGCATTTGTTGAAGAATAATAGAAAATCATACATTGCCTATATCAATATTTCAAACTATAATCTGTATTTTCAGAAAGAAAGTCTTTGAATACTTGATTTCCGTGCTAACGCTATGCAGAGTGAGTTCAGTTTTACGCCGCTTTTAGCAATATTCCAGCAATATCACGGCGGGGGACGCCATAAATGTACTTCACACATTGTACCCACATGGGGAATCGAACCCCGCTCTTCGGAGCGACGAGCGAACGCTGTAACTACTAGGCTACCACACCGCCCCCAGAATGACATGAACTCTGCTGACACTTCAAAAACTAAATGAAAAAAAATATATATATACTTAACGTCTATAATGCAATATTATCAAGACGTGAGTGGAACACAATAAACAATAACGGTATTGTCCAACTGTGTACGCGGTCACTGAACATTCATCTGTCGGGGAAATTATTTACCCGGCGAGGGGCTATCTGGACCTCTTTCAGCTTGTCGCATTTATCTCAGTAACAGGCTAACGCCAAGTCTTTAAAAATATATATTATGATGAAAACAAACAACTTCTTTTAAACCGGAAAGGAACCCCTTTGAGAAGTAAGATCCTTGAAAACCTAGACTTGCTACATTCCGGACTAAAGCTTGGCGATGAAGGACGAGAAAACATTACGGTGCAGGGACAGACTAATTTGATTGAGTCCACATGTGGAAAACGGATATTAAAAGAAAACCAAATGTAAATCTCATTGGATTAGAGAAGCTGATGAAAACTGACAGTCTACAATTCTGTTCCCAGGAAACCCGTCCAGATTGTCAGACGGGCAGACGACATTCAATTGAACCAATCAGCGTCAAAGCTGACGACAAGTTCCGGTTCCGTTGATGCGATCGAGCCTGACATAAAAAATCTGGCTACGAAATTATCGACAACGGTTGTCACTACTCTGCCGTGTTCAATGACATATTGTCACATTTATTACCGTAGAAGCCCTACTAAATAACGGCCCCCGCCCCCGCATGCTTATTTCCAGACAAATCATGGAGGTCAATGCCCAACGGCTAATGTTTATGTGAGCTGTCATTTAAGGCTTTGTTGTGAACGGCGGACTCCAATTTGTTGTGGCAGCTTGTGATTGGTCAGATGAACGAAGACCAGCAACCGTTTGACCACCGTGGAGTCCCAGGAATACAACGTCAGCTTGGGTTAGTATGTTTTGCGTGTGCAAGAAGTTTTGACGTTCCAGCACACCGTTGTGTATGTTGTTGATAGTACTGTCTGCTTAGACCGCTATGTCGACAAATAAGGCTAGAGCAATATCATCTTGCAAATTGGTAAACAACAGTTGTCTGAGCACAAGAAAAAGTCGTCAGCGTGTTGTTGTAAGCAGATGTGGTGGTTACACTGGTGTCAAAATAGTAGTCTCAGAGTCAACAAGCGGTTTGCGGTAGGGCGCAGGTTTGGGGTACATTTAGGTGCATAGTTTCGTGCATGTTCATGCCAAACAGTTCTGCGAAAAGCTGTGTAAATTTGGTTTAATAGTTATAGATCTTTGGGGTTATTGTCATATTGTTATAGAGTTGCTACAATAGTAATGGTAGTAGTAGTAGTAGTTGCAGAGGTAGTACTAGTAGTAATGGTAGTAGTCTCAGTAGTAGTCTCAGCAGGGGCAGTGGTAGAAGCAGTAGTAGTAGTTAGTGAGTGAGTATAGTTTTACGCTGCTTTTAGCAATATTCCAGCAATATCATGGCGGGGACACCAGAAATGGGCTTCACACATTGAACCCGAGTCTTCGGCGTGACGAGTGAACGCTTTAACCACTAGGCTACCCCACCTCCCTCAGTAGTAGTAGTAATAGCAGCAGCAGCAGTAGTAGTAGTAGTAGTAGTAGTAGTAGTAGTAGTAGTAGTAGTAGTAGCACCAGCACCAGTAGTAGTTGTTGTTGAAGGGGTGTCATCAGCAGTATTAACTGCTAAAGAACAAGCGTGACAATTTTATACATACAATAATTTTCTATTCGAACTATACACGAGTGCAGTGGCTCGCGATAGAGCACTCACCCTGACAAAAATATTTTTCAGAGAGCTACACTGAATAATAACATCCACTATGGTGCAGTACGCTTTACAGTGCAGTCCCTCGTGAATCTCATCTCTTGATCAAATTATGTGACTGCCATCTGGTCGTGTAGGAGATGCATGTACATGGAAGAATAAAGAAATAGTAATTGCCGATTCAGCAAAATCATATTTGTATTATTAATTCATTTTGAAAAGAGTCATTGACACCCTAAGTTCTTTCAAGTTGTCTCCATCGAGACAAAATGTACCGAACATTGTGGGGGTAACGTTTCACATAATAGTTGGAACGGAGTGTTGAAATTCTGATCACTTGCCAGAACAGTTCCCCGACGCCACATAAAAGCACATGAAAAGCAATTTGACACACCCCAGCGTCACATCCCTAAAACCCCCAAAGAAATTAATTGAAAATGATACAACCGGCGATAAGGCCGCGATATGAAGTAACAGCGCTGAAGAATCAGCCAGAGCGATGGTGACTCACCCTCCACCGTGTCCAGCTCTCTCCAACTATCAGACAATTCCACTTTCTTGTACCATCGATCCTGTGCTCATCCTTCTCTAGTCTTGCCTAGAAGCACATTTTCCAATTGCACGTACATCTGTTTATTAAATAACTACTTTGATCGTACACCGAAGCCATCAATTAAGAGAATTACGTTGACATGTGTCCACACTACGATCATGGGTTTCACTTTTGGGTTTCACTTTGGCTGCCGTAACGAAGAGTGCAAAG